GAGCCACAGGCACTGAGCCTAGATACAAATTCTTTATCATCAATGTGTGTTGCAAATATTTTCTCCAGTCCATGGCTTGTTTTCTTATTTTCTTAACAGTGCCTTTCAAAGAGCAAATGTTTTTAATTTTGATGAAGTCTAATTTATCTGTTTTCCTTTTATTTATGGATTATACTTTTATTATTATATCTAAGAAATCTCTTAAGATTTTTCTATTTTCTTCTACAAATTTTACAGTTTATGTTTTACATTTAGGTCTGTGACCCTTATTCCAAATGGCTTTTTAAAAACTGATTTATAAGGGCCTGGCACAATGGCTCACGCCTGTAATCCTAACACTCTGGCAGGCCAAGATGTGCAGATTGCTTGAACTCAGGAGTTGGAGATCACCCTGAGCAAAAGTGAGACCCTGTCTGTAGTCCCGGCCACTCACTAGGCTGAGACAAGAGGATCACTTGACCCCAGGAGTTTCAGGTTGCTGTGAGCTATGATGCCACAGCACTCTACCAAGGGCAACAAAGTGAGATTCTTTCTCAAAAATAAATAAATAAAAATAAAACAAAAACTTTATATTTACAAGTATAAAATCTATTCTAAAATAAATTATAATTTTAAAAGACTATTAATTTGACTTTTGATAAATATACTCAAAATTTCAGGTAGTAAAGATAAAGGATGTATAAGAAATTCTAGCTTCGGCTCGGTGCCTGTGGCTCAAGTGGCTAGGGCGCCAGCCACATACACCTAAGGTGGCAGGTTCAAATCCAGCCCAGGCCCACCAAAACAACAATGACAGCTGCAACCAAAAGATGGCCGGGCATTGTGGTGGTCGCCGATGATCCAGCTGTTTGGGAGGCTGAGGCAAGAGACTCGCTTGAGCCCAGGAGTGGGAGGTTGCTGTGAGCTATGATGCCATGGCACTCTGCCCAAGGGGATAACTTGAGGCTCTGTCTCAAAAAAAAAAAAAAAAAGACAATTCTAGCTTCATTAAACTTCAGAGTCTGTGCCTATTCCCTATTACAAATCATGAAATATTTTAGGTACACTGTGCTTATGTTACTGAACCACAATTCTCTATGGGACAAAAGATCTGCATTAGTCACACAGTACACAAACATCAGTATACCGCCTAACAACAAATTCCAAACCCAAAGTACTCTGGATATTTTTATGCTACAGGTATGTATAGATAGGACCTTCTGAGAAACACAGCCTGACAAAACAATCTTGGGTTACCTCCAAGTGGAAATTCAAACTGACTGAGAAAATTTAGACACTAAAATACCAGGATTTATTAAAAACTTTTCAGAAGAAAAAATTATAGCATATATGAAAAATAAAACTGTCCAAGAAAATCATACACATGGTCATCTAATCCATATTTATAGACCTAATGCTATAACAACAACTGCCCAATCTCTCATATAAAACCTCTCATATCACTGTACAGAACACACATCATCACTACTGCCATTGGTCGGATATGTCTCTCCTGCCTAAGGCACACAATAGGCCTTAATTTTAGACTATAAAGAATGATCTCTCTAAAGTCCCAAGTTAGAAATCTCATTGGGAACATCAGAAATAGATGGATAGAGACAAGGTAAAATTATATACAGAAGCAAGAAAATGATCACCTTAAAATCACAGTAATAGGATTGTGTGTGAAAACACCACACTGTATCCCGGAAGTGCATTAATGTACCTAATTACCATTCAATAAAAAATAATAATAAAAGAGAAAAATAAAAAATAATAATAAAAAAGAAAAAGAAAAAAAAATCATAGTAATAGTTGCTACTTATATTGGGGGTATATTTTTGTGTAAAGTTACTCCAAAAACATACTTCAGTTAGCTTCAACTGGACTCATAAGCCTATGATTTGTCCCACTACTTAAAAAACCATCTAAGAATCTTTGTTATAACCATTAAAAATTTACGCCTATTCCTCAGTTCCAGTATTTTACTGTGATTTCAAAGACTGCTTTGTCAAATATAGGTATCAAACACTTCTTTCTTACCCATTGCCCTGTTCAGAAATCTAGAGCAGAGGTACTCAAATTTCAGTGTAGGTAAGAGGTACCTTCGTAAAAATGCATTCGCCTGGGCCATACCTCTCAAAATACTGGGATGAAGCCCAGGATTCAACTTTTTTTTTTTTAGAATAATGAACACATTTATTACATAAACTAAGATAGGACAGAGGAAATATTTGCCTTTCCAAGCCTTGATTTTCCTCAGATAGAACTCCAGCTCCTATGCCTTCCAATAGCCATCTGCTTGGCCACACTGGCCTGGTCTTGATGCAGTGCATGCAAGAAGCTTGCCCTGCTGGAACTGCTCCTCCAGAAGACTGCTTATTAGTCTATATTTAAAACAAGTACCCCAGGTGATTTAAGTACCAATCATCCAGGGCCCACACTGTACCATTGATTTTATCTACAACAGTTCCCAGAAAGGCAGAAACCTCCGTCAGATCCCCGTCTAGACACCATCCCTCAATCACTCGTTTTAATTCTTCCATTCCATTTCCCCCCGAAAACTGCTTATCCTAACCCAGCGGTTCTCAACCTGTGGGTCACAACCCCTTTGGGGGTCGAACAACCCTTTCACAGGGGTCACCTAAATGCATCATGCATATCAAATATTTACATTATGATTCATAACAGTAGCAAAATCACAGTTATGAAGTAGCAACAAAAATAATTTTATGGTTGGGGGTCACCACAACATGAAGAACTATATGTATTAAAGGGTCGTGCCATTAGGAAGGTTGAGAACCACAGCCCTGACAGAACATATTTAATGTCTATCGCTTACATCATATCATCCTTTCTCTCTACAGCAAAGATATAAATAGGAATTGATATATAATATTTTTAATTTCTTGTGAGCATAAGGCTATAACTGTTAAAAAAGTATACACATACATACACAGAAAACTGTCACTACAAATACTGTAGAATGCAATTCATCAAAACACTATAAACATTTTAATTAAAATGCATTAAATGTAAAAATGTAAATTTTACTGGAAGACAAAAAATAATTGTCACACAGTAAAGGAGACAAAGGATACATGGCAATTAAATGCCATGTGAGATCTTGAAACAAGAGGACATTAGTAAAGTAACTAGCAAAATAAGCATAAAATCTATAGTTTCATTGGTAGTATTGTACCAATGTCAATTTTTCAGTTTTGATAATTATACTACAGTCCATACCAGATATTAGCATTAGGAGAACTGAGCAAAAGACACACAAGAACTCTCCAGTTATTATTTTTCCAACTTTTCTGTAAGTCTAAAATTATTTAAAATTAAAAGTTAATATGTTAAGAAAGAGTTCACAAGATTATGGAAAATATTAAAGTGCTTGACTTTCTTTTCTCATGAGTTAGAAGTCTTTGGATTCAAACAGGAGGGAGACAGCAGCAGAAGCTACAAAGTATACTGTAATTAGAAAATGGATTACTCAAACTTATAAGTATAACACATTCAAAGAATAGTCAAGGAAAATGCAGGTTGGAATTTATTATTGTTGACTCCAAATTGAGATGAAATTCCTGTACAGCTACAAAAATGCTTCAAAAACTACTGAAATAAATAATAAACTATGAACAAGAATTAAGAATGTAGACTCTAGTGTGGGCTATTTTAAAGATTGCTTCAATATCTATTTAAAATTGATGTATCTGATCCACTTCAAACAGCCAGTCACATATTTAGAAAACTAAATTCATATCTTCTAGACATTAAGGAAGAAAATAAGGCTTAAATTATTTTCTGCCAATGGAGTTCAGATATAAAATAAACCCGGGACTTGATATGAAGGCTCAAAACACAAAGTAACAGAGAGGCACAGGGCAGTTTTTATACACACTGAGCGGGTATTAAGACCATGCAAGTGATAAATCAAAAAATAGCCATAATTTCACAAAATTAGGGAGAAAAGCCTATCAACTAACTGAAAATAAAGCTGGTTAGCATGAGAAGGAAGTCCTGGAAGTACAATGTAACCACTGACCAAATAAAAATTATTTTATCGCATTTGTATCTCTTCATTAGATAGGTGAGACTAGTATCCCTCTCTTCTCATTGGGTCATGTATTTCTCCATGGCTGAATGCTGCTAGAATTAAATGGAGATGCAGCACCAACATTTTTCCTCCTTATTTTTTCATAGATTTACGTTCTAAGAAACTTTGTCCACACAAATAACACCTACTACATACAATGTATACTATGTGGCAGGCATTGTTCTAAGCACTTTACATCTTGATATATACTACAACAGCCCTATAAAGCATGTGTCATTAGCACCTTCCTTTTAGCAATGAGGAAAGTGAAGCCCAAGGTCACTCAGTAGAGCTGGGATCTGGGCCCAGGTAGTTGGCTGAATAGTCTGTGCTTCAAGCCACTAGACAATAATACTACTGCCTTTCTAGGCTGCAATCAACAAAATGCAACTCAGGAGTTTTCTACAGCAATGACACTCAGTTCTTCAAACTCCTTCCTAATTACATATCGAAAATCACAAAATGATCTGTCATTAAAATTTATGTTTAGGTCAGGCACAGTGCCTTGTGCCTATAATCTCAGCATTTTGGGAGGCCTAGGTGGGAGGATCAGTTGAGCCCAGGAGTTCAAAACCAAACTGGGCAACAAAGCGGGACCTTGTTCCTACAAAAAATAAAAAATTTCTAAACTTTTAAAAATAATGATCAGTGATTCACCAGCTGATATTTAGGTGTTATCCTTCAAGTCTGTTAAAAACAAATGGAAACCATGTTCATGCAAAAAGGATTTGTAATTCTGTTACTAGACTTCAATTAGACACCATTTTCTTTTTACTTTTCTTTGGAATCCTGAAAATTACTACACCCAAGGATAACACACCAGATTAATATTTGGGGGAGCACATTCTTTTATAAAGGTAAAAAACAGTAACTGTGAAAGGGAGGTGAGAAAGAAAAATTCATTTTCATGAGGCGATCTGTCAAAGCTCAACTTTAGGAAAGAGAACCAGAAACTGCCTCCTTTAAAACCATCCATGTCAACATAGCTCTTGGAAAGTGTTCCTACATATTCAAGAATATAAACCTAACAATTTGATTTCAGACTACAGCCACTTTCACAAACAACCTCTTCTTCTTTTAAGAATATTAATTATCGTTAATCAGTATTAACGATAATTAATGCCCCGATGTCAGGTACCTTTACAGGGAACAATACATGAGCATTACCTGGGAAAGTGATTAACCTTTTGTGCTTCAGAGAGGGTGCGAAGTAAGAAGGGTTTCAGGTGGGATCCTGTCCACATTAGATTATAGTCAGTGCTGCTTGGGTGAACCTGAGGGTAGATAGAAAGGTAAAAAAACATCAGAGCTAGCCCCTTTCCAAGAAGACCAATGGCATGCAAGTTCATAGTGATTTTTTATCCACAGGGGTGGCCTGGTTAAGAGGCGAGCCTGGTAAGAAGAAAGCAGAATATCATAGAACATGAGACAATCAGTTTAAAGAATGGGAGAGTTAGACAAATCCTAGATGCAGACAGTAAAATGAATTAACCATTCTATAGAAATCCATGGTGTCTCCTTACACTTTTGCATATCAAAGTATGAGATGAGGACCCAACCCCCAAATTCCTCTCTGCAACATTCTTACAGATAGTGAGTTAGAACTCATTACTTTACTCATTAGAATTCATTTGTCCATTCATGCAACACTTATGTAATCGGTCTCCATAACATGATAGGTACCATGTTAAATGCTGGAGATAAAACAGGAACAAAATATAAGCTTCAGAACCTCCTCAAAATGTCTCCTACAGATCTCAACTGAGAATAAAGAACTAGCAACAAGATTTTTATCAACTGTCTCAAAATATCTATAGTGGAAGTCTGTCCAGCATTTTTACCTGTCATTTTTGATATAACATCCCAATTTTCCAATTTTCTATGGTGAATAATGTACTCCTTGGTTTTAAAGGACCTGTCCATTACCCATTCTCCCCAGGCCCCAAGGAGTGAATCCATGACCCATGCCAGGCCAATCATCTGGTTTCCAGAATGTGATTCTAGATCAAAGAAAGGCACAATGATGAATGTACTCCAGCAACTTCCATGGCAGTGCCCTAAAGAGATGATCCTGAAGATTCCTATTCCTTGATACATGGGACTGTCCTGGTTTCTCTCCTTCCAAAGGCCTGTCTTTTCAGCTTTTTCTCTGACTCTGATAGTCCCCTCTGCAAACCTTTCCTTTTGGTTTAAGTTAGGCAGAGTCTGCTTCTGTTGCTTGCAGTCAAAGAATCTAAATTGGAGGGTGGTGCCTGTGGCTCAGGGAGTATGACACTGGCCCCATAGAGCAGGGGTGGCAGGTTTGAACCTGGCCCAGCCAAAACAGCAAAAAAAAAAGAATCTAAACTGGATATCAGACAATTTAGATTGCCCAAATTGGATATTAGATAATTTAGATTGCCCAAATTAGATATCAGACAATTTAGATTGCCCAAAAACATAGCAAGAAAAAAATTAAAGAAAAAACAATCGTGTGGAAATGTTTTCCAGGTATTACAAGGAGAAACTGATGAAGCCACCCAGTAATTCAATCCAAGTTCTGCATCATCCTTAAGCATTGGTCCTGTGAACTTTCTAAACCTGGCCCTATTAATAATTGGTGAAGTCAGTTAGGTGGCTAGGATTTTCAGCTTCTGAGCAGATTAGTAAAAACAAGCTTACTTCATGAAATCCATGGGCTGTCAGAATGCTGCGTACCAGGCGACTGTCTGTTCGCACAATCTTGTAAGACAAATGATAACGTTCTAAAGAAAAACACAGAATCAAATTCAGTAATCAAAAAGTTAACCAATAAAAACAGAAATAAACTGTAAGATGGGAGCTTCCTTAATTATATTCCATAATATTTTACTGCTACCCGTACTGGACCAAGGTTCATAACCTAAGACAAGCTAGAATTCACAAAATGTACACAGAGAGAAAATTGACATCTTTGTTTTCTTTTCTTTCTTTCTTTTTTTTGAGATAGCGTCCTGCTCTGTACCTGGACTAGAGTGCAGTGGCATCATCATAGCTCACTGCAACCTCCTGGGCTGAGGTAATCTTCCTGCCTCAGCCTCATGAGTAGTTCCAGTTGCATGCATGTGCCACCATGCCCAGCTAATTTTTCTATTTTTAGTAGAGATGGGGGTCATGCTGTCTTGTACTCCCAGCTTTAAGCAATCCTCCTGCCTCAGCCTTCCAGAGTGCTTGGATTATAGGCATCAGCTGCACTGCACCTGGCCTTGTTCTCACTAATTTCTAACTGAAATTTAATAATGCCGCCAATTAGGAATGTAGGAACAAAGCAGGTAGTATTAACAGCATCTGTGACCGTGTCACCAATAGACATCAAATATTTTAATATTATTTTACAACTGTTAAAATTATGTCAAAATATCACTGGTTCTCACAGTATTTAAAAATTACAGACCTTCTATTAGAACATTTAATGCACTAATTTAAAAAGCAAATATATCACAAATATTTTAATATTGTCATTACTATATGTTAAAACATTTGATTTCCTTTGTAAACATACTTTTTTCTCCACTTAACAACATCATTCATAGAAGAGACTATAGGCTTCTCCAGATAGTTGAAGGGGTCTACTGTACCCAAAAGGTTAAGAACACCTGCTCTAAATAGCACTCAGTGTCCTATAATGCTGGTTACCACTAAGTATTATCTTAGATCAGAGGTTAGAAACTGGTGGGTCAATAGCCAAATCCAGCCTGCAAACATGGGTTGTTCATTCCTCATGGTGTTCTGAAAATAAAACAGAGTTAGGTGCTAACCTCTTGAAGTGGGAAGCATTCATATATAATAAAAATCCAGACTTCTAGGCTTCTCTTAAAGAACCTGGGAACTGTGGGCTCTCTTCCTTCTTTCCAAAGGCAAGAGTCAACTAGAGAACTGCAGCTGCTCCCTTCAGACCAGCTCCCCGCTCCACAGTTCCTCTACCCAGCCTACTTCATTCATTCAGCTTTCCTGCCAAGCCTCTGCAAGCATCTGTGTTTGTATTGTGTCTAAGAAGAAAGTCTGAAACATGTGAGATTTTAATATATGCCCCAAAGACTAATGTTTTCTCTTTCTGTCCACCACTAAAAACTGTTTGGCTAAGAATTCTAAAAATTTCTTTTTAAGAGGACTGCATATTGAATAATTTCTCAATGAATACTGAACAGACTCTTACACACAGACTCTTGACCAATATTCAGCCTCTATAGTTAAAGAAATCATGTCTTTTCATGAGGTTATGTGAAAATATCCACAAATCTCTACTGCTACTTGGCCAGCCCTAGCAGTAAAACATGCAAATCCCCCACACAGAGGGATTAACACAAAAAGGCCAGTCTATAGTTTTCATTCATGTAGCACACTTTTAAAGTCAAGTTACATGGTTTTCCCAATGATCAGTCACAATACAGAATCATGTAATTACTTTAGTGCAGAATATAAACTAAGAAACAGTATAATGCACTGCTTGAAAATATGTGTTCAGGGCCAGGCACAGGGGCTCACACTTGTATTCCTAGCACTCTGCAAAGTCAAGGAGGGAGGATCCTTGAGTTTAGGAATTCAACATCAGCCTGAGCAAAAGACAGACCCCATCTCTACAAAAAAACAGAAAAATTAGTCAGGCATTGTGGCAGGTGCCTATAATCCCAACTACTGGGAGGCTAAGGCAGAAGGATCGCTTAAACCCAGACGTTTGAGGTGGTTGTGAGCAAGGCTGACACCATGGCACTCCAGCCTGGACAACAGAATAAGACTCTATCTCAAAAAAAGAGAGAAAAGGCTTGGTGCCCATAGCTCAGTAGTTAGGGCTCCAGCCAAATACATTGAGGCTGGCAGGTTCGAACCCAGCCCAGACCTGCTAAACAACAATGACAACTACAACAACAACAAAAATAGCCTGGCATTTTGGCAGGTGCCTATAGTCCTAGCTACTCAGGAGGCTGAGGCAAAAGAATTGTTTAAGCCCAAGAGTTGGAGGTTGCTATGATCGGTGACGCCATAGCACTCTACAGAGGGTGACATAGAAAATGTGTTCTGGCCAGGCCCTATAATCTTAGCACTTCAGGAGGCCAAGGTGAGAAGATTGCTTAAGGCCAGGAGTTTGAGATCAGCCTGGGCAACATAGCAAGAACTTATCTCTACTAAAAATATATCAATAAGCTGGGAGTGTTAGCACACCACTCAAAAGTCCTAGCTACACAAGAAGCTAAGGCAGGAGGATTGCTTGGACCCAGGAATTCAAGATTATATGAACTATGATTTGGCTACTGCACTCTAGCTTGGTGACCCAGCAAGACTCTGTCTCAAAAAAGA